TAAGAAAGTAATGAAAATTTAAAAGCAGACAGGACAGCCCTGGCTGGTTTGGTTCAGTGGTTAGAGCATTGGCCCGTGGACCAATGAGTCTTGGGTTTGATTTCAATCAAGGGCACGTACCTCGGTCGCAGTTCGTCCTCGGCCCTGGTTGGCGTCATGCAGGAATCAACCAGTTAATGTGTCTCTCTCACATTGATATTTCTCTTTCTCTTCCTCTCTTCCTTTCTCTCCCTCCCACTCTACCTGAAGAAAAATGGAAAAATATCCTCAGGTGAGGATTAAAAATAATAATAATAATAAAATAAAAGCACACAGGACATATGGAGAATAGTATAATAACTACTCATGAATATAACACCCTACTTTAATAAATCTTAAAATTCTGTCATATTTGGTCCAGGTAGTTTCTCTAAGAAACAAAACTTTGTTGATACTTACTTTTAAATATATTTTTATTGATTTTTAGAGAGAGAGAAAAGGAGAGGGAGAGAGAGAAACATTGACGAGAGAGACATCGATCAGCTGCCTACTGCATGCCCCCCACTAGGGATCAAGCCCCAAACCCAGGCATGTGCCCTGACTGGGAATCAAACCTGCGACCTCTTGATCCATGGGTTGATTCTCAACTACTGAGCCACACTGGCTGGGTTTGATACTTACTTATAAAACCACTGTATACTCCTGTCCATCCTTGCTTTTTCTTTTTTGAAGTCTTCAGCTGTAAAATTTCAATGCTAGATAGCTACTTTTTAAGTTAAAGAACTTGAGACTCGGGCCTTCTGGTGATTCAGCAGGAAAAAAAAAAAAAAGGGAAGTATACTCATTCAATTATTAAACAAATATTTATTGTGTCTTCTATTTGCCAAGCCTTGTACTACACATGTCTTTAAATAGTATATTCTTCTTTTCCACAGTGTTCTATTTGCATACCATTTTGTTTCAAGTTATATATCCAAAGTGAGAAGTATTTCTTTGTAATGGGGGTTGTTTTTCAATATCTCTTACAACAATTTTTTCTTAATACCTTCAAGCTTTGAAGGTGTGTCTTGTTCTACTCTTAATCCGTAAATTTGCACTCCAAGTTTCTTAATACTTTCCTTCTATGGGTTTGGCTCTTGTGTCACCAGGGAGGATAGGATGTTTGGCATGTTTATTTGGTTGCTAGTCGACCACACCTTTGATTTTCTTTCATAGGATTAAACTGTCATTGCTTGTAACTCCTATCTGGTTTCTCTACTTCAATGTAATGATTTCAAAGTGCAGTCCTCCCCCCTGGTCTTTGTTTTCTTGCTTTTACAGTGAGTAGGTTATACTTTTTTCTCCCCTAAATTACAGCTTTATTCGATATAATTTATATACCATAAAACTCATCCTTTAGTATATTCACAGAGTTGTGCAACACTATCTGATTTTATAGTATTTTCATCACCTCAAAAAGAAATCCTATACCTATTAGCTATAACTTCCCATTATCCTCTGCACCCAGCAACCCCTAATCTACTTTCTGTCGTTAGGGATTAACCTATTCTGGAGGTTTCATAGAAACAGAATCATACATTATTGTCATCGTTTATCTCTGGCTCCTTTAATTTACCCAGATAATGTTTTCAAGGTTAATCCATGTTGTACTATGTGTCAGTGCTTCATTCCTTTTTATGGCTAAATAATATTCCATTGTATAGACATGCCACTATTTGTTTATCTGTTCAACAATTGACGGAACAATTGGTTGTTCCATTTTTTGGCTACAATGACTAATGTCACTGTGAGCATTCATGTACAAGTGTCTGTGTGAACATATTTTCATTTCTCGTGGGTATATACCTATGAGTTGAATTACTGCATTATATGGTAAATTGATATTTAACTTTTTGAGAACTGCCAAACTATTTTCCAAACAGGCTGCACCATTTTACCTTCCCACCAGTCATGTATGAAGACTGAAATTTCTCCATTTTATTTTAGCCATCTGGTAAGCGTGAAGTGGTATCTCACTGAGGTTTTGCTTTACATTTCCCTAATGATATTGAACATCTTTTCATGTTCTTATTGGCCTTTGTATATCTTCTTTGGAGAATATCCACTTTTTTTTTGTCCTCTCCCAAAAACATTTTTACATTCATCTTCAGATAGAGCGGGAGGGAGGGAGGGAGGGCGAGAGAGAGAGAAACATTGGTGTGAGAGAGGCACATCGACTGGTTGCCACCCACACAGCCCCATTTGGGGCTGGGGACAAACTGCAACTGAGGTACATGCCCTTAGCAAGAACTAAACCTGGGTCTCTCTGGTCTGCAGGCCAATGCTCTAACCTGGCCAGGATGAGAATGTCCACTTTTTAAATTGGACTAATTTTTAAAAATTGTTGAGTTGTACATACAACTCTTTTATATATTCTGTATATAATTGTCTTATCAAATATATGATTTACCAATATTTTTTCACATTCTAAAGGCTGTCTTTTCGCTTTCTTGATGATGCCCTTTGAAGCATAAGTTTATAATTTTTGGCAAGTTCCAATTTATTTTTTCATTTGTTGCTTATGCATTTTAGTATCACCATAATAAACCATTGCCTGACCCAAGGTCACAGAGATTTAATGTTTTCTTTGAAGAGTTTTATAGTTCTAGCCCTTACATTTAAGTCTATGATCCAGCCTGGTCAGTGTGGCTCAGTGGTTGAGCGTCGACCCATGCACCAAGAGGTTTGATTCCTAGTCAGGGCACATGCCCAGGTTGTGGGCCCAATCCCCAGTGAGGGGCATGCAGGAGGTGGCCAACTGATGTTCTCTCTCATCGATGTTCCTATCTCTCTTTCCCTCTCCCTTCCTCTCTCTCTAAAATCAATAAAGAAAAAAATTTTTTTTTAAATCTATGATCTATTTTTAGTTCATTTTTGATATGGTATAAAGTAGAAGTTCAAATTAATTCTTTTGCTTGTGAATATCCATTTGTAAAGACAATTTCTTCTCCATTGAATTATCTCGGCTCCCTTATCTAACTAAGTTATATCTTTATTATAGAATTTACCAAATTTGGCAGTAAACTGGATATATCTTCCTCAGTCACTGGAGGTCTGAAAACATTTTATTCATTGAAAATGAGAAAACATATGTGAAAAGCACCTACCACAGGGCCCTAGAGTATATATTTTGTTTCTTCTTTTGCATCCCTCCGTAACACTTAGTGCAGTATTTGGCACACAATGGTTACCATAAATGTTTGCTGAATGTAAAGGGGGCTTGAGTATGCACCCCAAAATAAGGGTGTGAGTTCCTAAAGCTCTGATTGGGTGGGAGAATCAAAACACTTCAGCCCTTTTCAAGATAAGAATCTGAAAAATAGTAGAGACTGACCCCAACAGCTTTGTGAAGCTATGTTGCTGTCAGGGTAGGGGCCTCCAAATCATTCCTCATCCTTAAAGGTTAAGTGACAAATATGCTCTCACTTATAGTGAACCCAAACACTTAAAATAACCCTAAAGATCTAGAATCTTTTTTTTTTTTCTAGTTTAATTTCAAGTTCTCTAGCACTTATTTAAGTGCTTAGCAGTTAATAAAGTTTTCACTTGTGGATTTGACCTCAATTCCACAAAATCGATTGTGGCTCTTATCTGCTTAAAAGCAGAAAGATTTTCTCAGGCAGCAACAACCACTATTGAAGAGGCAAAGAAACAGCACTCAGGTATGTCAGGTAATTCTATTTTCAGTGACCCTTTTCTCCCTCTCTTTTTCTCTCCTACATGCTGAACATTAGGAGCTCACAATCTCTCAGAAATAGAGCAAGAGGCTGAAGATAAAGGCCTGTTAACGCCCCCAGGGACTTTCCTATGGGTTCCTGTCCAGGCAGTGTTCCTGTCTGCTCCTTGGGTATCTCTTTCTGAGATTCCAGAATCTGCCCCTCCGTGTGCAAGTGCTGAACCTAAGATGTGTGCTATGCAGAACAGATACACAATAACTTTCTTACAATGTTCTTCAGCATGGAAAAACTTCCACAGGGGTGGATCAGTGCTCCTGCTTCTTCACCAAATCGCTTCAGGTTCAGGGTTCTGAACTACATTTTCTTGTAGGGATTGTAGACATTCTTTAAAATAAAAACATTTTAAATAAAATATAGACTTTATATTTTAGAACAGTTTTAGGTTCACAGCAAAATTGAGCTGAAGCCTGAGATTTCCCATATAACTCTTGCCCCATACATGCACAGCCTCATCCATTATCAACACCCTCCGCAGAGTGGTTCATTCTGCAATTGAGGAACCTACATCTACGCATCATAATCACCCAAAGTCCTCAGTTAACATTGGGGTTCACTCTTGACCTTGTATATTCTGTGGGTTTGGACAAATGTATAATGGCATGCATCCACAATTACACTATCATACAGAGTAGCTTCACTGCCATGAAAATCCTCTATGCTGTAGCGAGGCTCGACTTTAACGGCGAGAACAGAGAGGGAAAGAAAAAGATTACGCAGTCTCTCTCAACCGAACTCCAAGCCAAGTTTGTTCCCAGTTCAGCGCCTCTCAGCTGTCCCATCTCTCCTAGTCCCGCTAGGGGCAGGTTCCTCCTCCTCTTTTTGTTCAAGTGTCAAACAAATGGGTTTCCTGTTGACACCGGAATACTGTGAAAGGGCAGGAAGAAGCCAGGCCACCTCCCCCTACCCTGTTTATTGATTTTGAACACGTTTGTTTTGGTCCAGCGAGCAGGTGGTTCCAGCGTGTGTGGCTGTGGGACGGCCTCAGTGGCTGGTAGCCCCTCCCCGAGGAGGCGAGGCCCGTTCCCTGGCTCCAAGTCTGTGGGGCGGGGAAGGGAAAGAGGAAGGGGGAAGAGAGTGGGAGAGCGAAAGCAGGGAGAAAGAGGCCGGGTGCGCAGCGAGGAGGAGGCGGGGAAACCGATCGCTGGTGCCTGGCCGCTCCCCTCGCCAGCTGCAGGTGGAGTCCGCAGAGGTAGCTGATTCCGCAGCCGCCGGTGCTGCCACTTCTTCCCCGGGCTGCCTTTCAGGCCCCGAGGGTGCTGGCGTGGGGGCACCTGGTGCTCGTCCATCCCGTGTCTGCGCCGCCGCGCCTCGCTCATGGCTGAGGGCCGGCGGTGGGAGGAGGAAGAGGAAGAGCTGCGGGAGCTGGGGCGCCGGGCCCGGGGCCGTGCGCTCTCGGGCCACTCGGCAGCAGGTGAGGGGCTGGGGAGCGCAAAGGCGGGGTGGGGGGCACTCAGACCGAGGGCGGGGCGCCTTGGGGCCCCACAGGTCCTGCCTCAGAAGTCAGTGGCACGCTCACCAGTGTGGGACCTGCACCTCTCGGAGGTGTGAGGGAGGGAGCAGCGTTTCCATCCTCGTTCTCCCTTTCGGGCGGAGCCGGAGGAAATCCATACTGGTCTCTGCCTGCTAGGGCCCAAGAGCCAAACCCACAAATTTTCCATACACACACTAAATCTAGGAGCTGCTGGCTTGGACCTTGTGGCCCAGGTGATTGCTTATCTCTGGATGAGTCAGAGACCAGTGGAGGAGGATCCCTCCTGATAGGTTTGCCTGGGCTGCCACAACCAGGTCGAACCACGTGCTAATTGTCTAGGCTGGTTTCGGTGTCTCTGAACTTCGGACCTGTGACTCTCCTCTCTGCCCCTACCACCTCCAGAGCTCTCCAGTTTTCTACAGGATTTGCTTTAGAGTTCTTTTATGGGCCCTTCAGTCCAGGATACAGCATTCCAAAAGGCAATCCATTTGGACTGAGAATCATTTCTGGGCCTGAAATTACTTTTATGATGTTGTGTTTTGGGGTGCACAAAGGCCGCACGGATCAGTAGTTCGGCGCATACTGCAAGAATGAATAAGTATAGATCCACACCCCTTCTTTCTTCCCAGCTTTTTAATCAGACATAATAGAGAGGAAATTCTTTGGCCTTTGGTTCCAACTGGATAAGCCAGTTATCTAATAAGAGAACAAACCTAGGGAGTTGACTACAAAAGAAGTGAGAAAGATGGAGATGAGAACATTCATTAAAGCCTCTTTAGAAAGTGAAATATAGTGAACATTTCATCAAGTCACGCAGAAAGTTGGAGAATTAAGAGAAGTTAATGGGTCTGTGGGGAACAAATGGAAGGTAGAAAATAGAATGAAAGGAAAGAATTTGAGTGTAGTATGAGGAAATGGTCAACTTGATGCCCTTGGTAGGATCTTGGAACCTTAAAAATAATCCCATATGCCCATTACTAGGACATTTTAAAAAAAATCAAAATAGTGTATTGGACACCATCTGTTTTGAAAATGATAGTTTTGTTCAGTATAAATCCAGACCTCATGAAATAATGGAAGATGAGTAAATATTTCTTGCAAGAATGCAATGAAAAAACTTTATAAAGAATTACCGCTATTGAATTGCTGATTTAAACAATGTAGTCTACCTTGGAGTTCTATTGCTTCAGCAAAAAGCTCCACTCTTTCTAAGGAGGGACTGTACTGTGAAGAACTGTCTATACTAGAGGTCACACTAGATATGATTCAGGTGTAGGTTTATCATTTAGTTGCAATATGTGTATTTATTCCAAGGCTAGTGGAAGTGGTGTTTTTATAACTTGTTTTTACCAGTTTCTTAATTTTCCAAGGCTGACGGAGAGGCTTTTCTAAGTTCTGTGATAGTATTTTGCTGAGACAAGACATGGTATATTTTTTCACTCAGGAATTGGTGTTTGCAGTTTCTAACCATGCCCTGCATCCATTAAGGGGTGAGAGGTAGAGATATTAAGGAGTGGGTAGAGGGTTCGACTTGCAATCACTGATCTTCTTTCTTTTGGGATACATTATTTAATAGTTTATATTTCTTTACAAGCTGTGCTCCTCCGTCCCCTCAATAGTTACTGTGTTTTTCAGACACCATCGCATTCCTTACCAAGCTTGGGCATTTGTTCCTTCTGTCTGTGCTGCATGTTGTTCTCTCTCCAAGTGAGAGTATGAACTGTCCTAGAGGCTTAATTTTTCTTCTGCTTAACTTTTCTTTCCAGTCTTTCACCTTTCCTGTTCTCATCACTCCCTTCTTCCCCCATCAATTTACAATCTAAAGATTTTCTTTTTCTTTGATCTCACATAGCTTGACACCATACATTTGAGGTTTAGGGACTTGAAGGAGTCTGAACTTTTCTCCCTGCTAGCTTTAGGTGTGGTGGTAGAAGTGTATATGTTTAGTTTTGCAATGTACATTCAGAATAGCATATAAAACCTATAAATTATAAAATATAGGCTTACCTCAGAGATATTGCAGATTTGGTTCCAGACCACTGCAATAAAGTGAGTCACTCTCTTTTTGCTGGTGGAGGGTCTTTCCTTCAATGCAACATCTGTGAAGCACAATAAAGTAAATGAAACTCAACAAAACCGTACGCCTGTAAAACCCTTGTAACCTGTGCCCAAGTCAAGAAAGAATATTGTTAGTAACCTAGACGCAGACTCTGACCCCTGTCACTACCAGTTTTTTTACTTTTGTGATTATTTCCTTGTTCTTCTGTACAGTTTTATCTGTATGCGTATGCATAACACATGCATCCCTACACAATATTAGCATTACCCATTTTACAAGTTCATGAGTGGAATCATCCTGTATGTATTCTTTAGTGTCATGCTTTTTTCACTCAATATTAAATTTGTAAGATTTACCCATATTGTTACATGCATCTGTAGTTTATTTTCATTGTATAAATAGATCACATTTTTTTGTCTACCATGTTTTATTGATTTGTTGAAGTTCTTTACACAGGAATCTCAATTTTTTGGTTGCATGTGTTACAGGTATCTTCCACTCTGTGGCTTATTTTAGAAATTTTCTTTATGGTCTCTTTTGAAGTGGAAAGTCTTAATTTTAATGTAGGTGTATTTGTGAATCTTTATAGTGTCCTCACTGTCTCCCTCGGTTAATAATGCTTTCCCTCCCCCTGGGTCATGAAGATATTCTTCTGTATCTCCAGTATTGCCTCCTAAAAGTTTTGTAACTTTTGTTGGAGAGAGGAGATACAGCTTTCATCAGACTGTCAGCCAGGTCTAAGAATCTTTGACTGATCTACAGGGCAGGGAAAATTAAGTTCTAGGTCCTCCCCCTAATCACCCAGAAGAGTGGTAGGCATTTAATAGGGTTTAATAAATACTAAATAAATGTATTCTTTCTTTTTTAAAAATATGTTTTTATTGGCTTTTTGGGAAGGGAGAGAAACATCGATTTGAGAGAGAACCATTGACCAGCTGCCTCTTGCAGGCCCCTATTGGGAATCAAGCCCACAACCTGGGCATGTATCCTGACCAGGAATCGAACTGGCACCTCTTAGTCCATGGGACGATGCTCAATACACTGAGCCACACCGGCTGGGCAAATGTATTCTTTCTATATGTTGATGTCCTAATGGTCAATTCTGGAAGGAATGATGTAACTTCTCTGATGTGTTTTGAATAAAATAACTAATATTATCAGTATAAGGGCACGGAATACAATTTGTTGTGTTCACTGTGAACCAGGTGCTCTTACATGTTACACGCTGTTAGGTAGGAATTATTTTCTCCATTTTATAATTGAAAATATTGAGGCTCAGAAATATGTAAGCAACACCCCTAAGGTCCCTCAGCTAGTAAATGGCAGAGTGGAAACTTGAATCCATATCTTTCTGACCTGAAAGTTCATGTTTTTCCAAACTATCCCACTGGCTGTTAATAATAGTCAATTGCTATTAATGACTCATATGTTTATAGTGCATGCTACTTGCTATATATTTAGAAATACTTTACATCTGGTTTATTTCCCCCTGCTTAGGAAGGGCTTTCACAGCCTCGTTTAACTTGATTCTTAAAGATCCTGAGAGGAAAGAGGATACATTTTATTTTTCCCATGTTAAAGATGAATAAATTGAGACTCAGAAATGTTGAAGACTTAATCTAAAATACCACAGTTAGGTATAACTGCATCTCCGTCACCTCTTTTGTGTATTTCAAGTCATAAACTATAGTTTCTTTGAGTTGATTCATAGAACATATGCGCCAGAGTTTGTGGCTCTAATAAGTTAGTTTTGAAAACTGCATGAATTCTTCTGCACCATTTTACTGTTTTTGTTATTAGAAATCCAAAGTTGTCTAATTTATTTTGAGGAAATTATTAAGTCCCATGGAAACTATAAGTATATTTACACATTAAAAATCCTGCACTCACTGAGTTCTTTTATCCCCATCAACATAATGTATGCAAAATGAAAATACAGGGAATACAAAGAGATATATAAAATAGTCTCTCTGCTTTTAAAGAACATGTTACAGCATTTGGGAAGGTAAGATTAATATACTTTAAAGAAGATAAATATGTATATAAAATAGTCCATGGTGACTATCAACTGGAATTTAGCATAAAAAACTAGACTGTCTTGGTTTATTTCTTGGATTACCTCTTATCAACTGTGTGAACTTGGACAAATTACCTAGCCCCTCTGTGCTTCCATTCTTTATTTGTAAAATAAGGATATTAATAAAACCTGGTATGTAGGGTTTGTAGATTAAATGAGTAGTATATGTAATACTCTTAGAACATGACTAGGCACATAGTAAATACCTTAAAGTTATTAGCTCTTACTTGTTTTGTTAACCTAAGGATAAAAAAACCAAAGTTAAGAGGCAATAGTGTTTATTTGAGATTCCCCCAAAATAGCTATTCGTGAAGCACTGACTTAGGCAGAAACCCAATAGTGTTCTGATTATGAAATGAAGACAAGGAGTTTTATGATAAAGGGAAGGGGAATAATTACATAAATAGAAGGAATGAATTTCTATTGGTGTTAGGTCAAAGAAGGAATTTCTATAGATGCAAATAAACTAAGTTATTCTTTAGCCATACATGGTGCTAATTCTAAAGAATGCTTTTAATTTTCAGTTCGGTTGTCAGAGTGTCTGCTTTCTGCAAGCACTTCTTTGGGATACAGCATTGCTTTGGGCCAGTCTAGAGATTCGTTTGCCCAGTTTAAACATTCCAAAAGTTTGAGGAGTAAGACATGCAAAGCAGTTCCTCTGGGATGGCAGCTCCGACTCCATTTTGAAGTCGTTTACATAATTTTCCACATGTGTTCAAGTGAGGTGACCCATGACTGAAACTCACTTACACTAGAGTATCAATAGGTACAAAAAGGACTAGTATTAATTTGTTTCCGATTTTG